TAATGCCTTAATGGTAAATTTACAGAATATAACAGTTTTTATAAGTTGTTAGCATCTGAATCCTTGTTAAAAACAGATAAGTACTTTTATTTTAAAACTTAGGCTTTTATTTTAAAAGTTAGCAAAGGTTAAGATTAGAGAGAGAGTTTTAAAGCATTCAGACAGACCTTGGAATTATGTGGGCAGATGAAGAGAAGTTTAGTTTAGTAACAAGGGCTCTGAGGAAGAGGGTTGTTCTTTTAATAAGAATTTATATCCAAGGAGATTTTAGATTTTGTTTTTAATGTTTCTGGGAAGTATAGATATGGCAGAGATCCCTGACTCCAAATCCATAGTTAAGTAATTTTCATGCAGTTTCACCGGATTAGAGCAGAAGGCTCTGTGGATTTCATTTATCCCTGCCTCTTGTTCTGTCCCATGCCTCAGTTCCCTACAACGTGATCGAATTTTCTGTCCTAATTTTTCTTTATTAGGATTATGAACACATAATCCTCCATATTTACCTCCTTTAAAAAAAAACAAACAAACCTTGTTACGACTATTATTACTGGCTGGGGACTGTTTTTAGAGGTACAAATAGAGAAAGGCTGCTCTTTTTGCCTGCCCGACTTTTAGTACAGTCTCTCAGCCCATCCAGAAAGCATGAAAATATCTATCAGGGAGGACTTAGTGAGCCATAGTACTGTGGAATTCAGAACTGTGGGCCCTGATTAAAAGTAAACATTCGGGGGAATGTTGCAAGAGATTTCCTAGATCCTAGTTCACACCCCACCCCTCCCCAGGTGATTAATATTGTATTTCAGATGGAGGGGATCTGGCCTGTTATAAACAGAGAAATTACTCAGATTAAGAAAAAGACTCCAGTTTGTAACCTCTTTAATATGAATCAACTTGCCTGGAAAAGTGTACAGTAAGCTCTCAGTTACCTACACAAAAGAGCAGGACAGTGATGTCAGATTGTGAGCGTCTACCTCAAAGCCAGGGGTTATGTCCAATTCAGGGTCTTCAGTACCTGGCTTTTAGGAGGTGTTCAAGACATACTTTTCAACACAGAATTCATCATGTGTAGAATAGCCTTACAAAGGTGCTTTTTCCTAGAGATTTTTTTCCATTGAACATTCATTATTTGGCCCAAAAGAATCCTGAATATCAGAAAGAAGTCATCCTAGCCTTAAAGGTATTCTGTACACAAGTTATCAGTAAATGACCAGTGATTGACTGAGCTTCCTACCTCAGCACCATCACATTTAAGGTGTTGCTTATTAGTTGGATATGTTTATGAAATTCTTTTCCCTTAGGGGAAAAAAAAAGCCCCAAAGACGACTCCTGCAACTTGTAACTCTTAGGAGATTTTCTGAGTAATTCGTTTTGGGTTTCACTGAGGTATTAATTCCCTACACACACGTTTGAAGTTTACCAACCATTTTATCTTGGTGAAGCATGTACCTCATGTTCTTATATTCAGCTGTGTTTCT